TAGAGTTTTTTTTTTTTTTTTTTTTTTTTTTTTTTTTAAAGATTTTATTTATTTATTTTACAGAGACAGAGACAGCGAGAGCAGGAACACAAGCAGGGGGAGAGGGAGAGGGAGAAGCAGGCTCCCCGCGGAGCCGGGAGCCCGACGCGGGGCTCGACCCCAGGACCCTGGGATCATGACCTGAGCTGAAGGCAGTCGCTCAACCAACTGAGCCACCCAGGCGCCTCAAAAGTAGAGTTTTACAAATGTGGATTTTGACTTGTTGAGACCTTATTGCTAGGCGAGGGGCAGGGGGCAGGGAGCACTGTAAGGGGAGATGAAATGGGGATCCCTGGGCAGGGGAGGCCCCAAGGACCACACCCCTGAATCCTGCAGAGGCTGAAGCTCCCTGAGGTGGCTCCTGTGCCCGGGGTGGGCCTGGAGGGTTCCCTAAACCCTCAGAGCTCCGTGTGCCTCTCAAGCCCGGGCAGGGCCTCCCTGGAGCCACTGTGATCCTGAATGGGCACACAGTTTCCCTGAACCTGGTCTCCTGCCTCCTTTCTGAACCTTCTTTCTTCGTGAGCCAGCTTTCAGTACCTGATAAGAGGGTCACCCAGGACACCAGACACAGGCCACTCTCTTGGTAGAAAGACATTTTTTGCCATGCTCAGTGCATCGATCTCCAGCTTTTAGCCGAGGAGGTGGCTTGAGCCCTGTTCCTGTGTCCACAGAGGAACAGGGCCATGACCATAGAGAAAGTTCCATCCATCTGATTTGTTTCTGCATCTCATCCCAGCTAATTTGGCAAACTGGACACGTGGAGATTCCTTTCCCTTGTTGAACACACTTTCACACCCGCAAATGCATGCACAGTCATATACACACATTTCCACACCAAACACACACCCAGACTCAAAATATACTCACGGGTTTGGCCACACGACATCTCCCTACAAACATGCGTCATGAACTTTCGGGTACACTAAAGTGGCCGTGGCCGTGCACACTTATACACACACACACACACACGTACATGCTCTTGTGGACCCACACCCAAACCCACACCCACCATACACATACCCCCCCAAGAAACGCGCCCATGGCTCCCTGCACATGGAGACTCCCCACCCAAGAGAGTTTCTATTTGGAGCAAACACACAGCAACCATGGTGAGTGGCAGATGGATGGGACAAAGTTCACTTATGTGTCCAGGTGTCTCCACCAACACAGCCAGAAGGAGCAAACAGCAGGCTCGGCCCCTTCCCACTAGGCCTTCAGGAGGGCAAGGCTTGGGTGGGGTCAGATTTGGGCAGGAGTATGGCAGAGCTCCTGGCTGCTGACTCAAGGCCCAGAGCAGAAAGCCTTGTGCATTCCCGACAAGTAGGTCACCGTGACGAGAAGTGCTGGCCCACCTGTCAGACTTAAGGTCAGTTGGAAAAGACTTGCGGAAAACCCAACCCTCATGGGCCAGCAGGTGTTCAATAGGTGCTGCCTTTCATTCTAGCCCTTCCGTTAGGTCTACACAGCCCTGGGAAGCAGGTGTTGGGGGCAAGCACCCTTGCTGGGTGCAGTGTGTATAGAGGGGAAGCAGGCAACGGCTTCAGAGGGGCTGTAATAGGGGATGCATGGTGGAGGCAGGTGGACATATCCCTAATATTGTTCGTATGGATTGCAGCTGTGTGTTAAGCACTGTGTGGGTGTTCCCATGTATGACCTTGCAGGATACAGTTGTGCACATTAGAGATTATTGCCTCCGTTTCACAGATGAGGAAGCTAAGTCTCAGAGGGCTTAACTAAATGACTCCAGATCCCCAACTAATAAGGGCAGAAGGAGGATTGGAGCCCAAGTCTGTCTGACTCCGGAGCTCAGACTCTTTCTACATCCCCCTGTGGAAGCTAAGACTTGCATTTTAAACTTCCACAAGCAAGAGGAGTCTAAGGCGATATGACAACTAAATGTACTATGGTATCTTATATGGGATCTTGCAACAGTAAAAGGACATTAGGGAAAAACTGAGGCTATTTGAATAAAGTATGGACTTTAGTTAATGATAACATAAGAATATTGGTTCATTCATTGTAACAAACGTACCCTACTAATTAAGATGTTAAAAATAGAGAAAACTGGGTGCAAGTACACAGCAATTTTTCATATTATCTTTATAATAATTCTGCGACTCTAAAAGTGTCCTAAAATAAAAAGTTGATTAAAAAAGAAAAAAATATATATTTGCCAGAAGCAGGAGGCCACAGGTAACTTATATTCCAAGGTGCAGCCTGTGCCCAAGGCCTAAAGAGGCAGGGCCTCTGCAAAATGTCTCACCCCCTTGTCTCAAAATAAAAGGCCATTTTGGATTTTGTACCCCTGAGTTCCCATCCCTTGCACACCTGAAATACAGACATTCACTGCAGGGCTATTATATCCAAGGCCACCAGAATCCCCTTCCTCAACGGGACAAAGGGGCACTGAAGGCAGGCAGAGCCAGGCAGGAGGGCACAGAGCTCTGGGGCTCTGCAAACTGGCACGAATTGTTGGGGCCCAGCGGGGAGGTCTTGCCAGGTCTGCCTGCTCCCGCCTTGCAGTATGGCCTGGCCAAGCTGATACTCCCATTGGAATGTAGCTTCTGAGGTAAAAGTCTTGCACTTCCTCTGTTAAATGTATTTCTAGGCATTTTATCCTTTTTTGATACTATTATAAATGTAATTGTTTTCTTGATTTTATTTTAGGGCTGTTTATTGTTCGTGTACAGAAATAAAACTGATTTTTGAAATCAGAAAAGAAATGTAAATAACCATGCATCAGGCTGGCTTTTGACTCCCAGAGTCAGAACGATCCAGTCACAACACAAAGGCAGTGGCACAAGAGGGCACCATTGGAAGAAAGCTGGGCCTGGCCAGAGAGCGGGGGCAATGCGTCTGTCTGCCCGCTCTAAGAGTGGATCCCAGCTTCTTCCTTCCCCACGTGTTGGGAATTCCTCTCTGGATTCTGGCATCAGGCCTGAGCTCCTTATCTCCTCCACACTAGTCTTATCTGAGCAATCCAGTGAATCCACCAAGAACGTATGTGCTGCCCTTCCAGCAAGCAGGGTGTTTGCAGAGCTGGCCTTGGGCCCTTCGTTTCCAGGAAGCAGACCCAGCCCAGTGAGCTGGGCTAGGGCTCTGGCTGAAATAGCCCCCAAGACCAGGACCAGCTGGGGCCCCTCCACCTAGGTGAGAGCAGCTGAGCACCTTCTGTGGAACCGCATTCCAGACCACCTCGCAGGCTCTACCAGCGGTGTGGATTGCAGTGTGGTTTCGGCCACAGTTCACTGAGACCTTGAAGGAAATGGAAAAAAAAAAAAAAAAAAAAAACAGGAACAACAGAGGGAGAACCGAGGCATCAGGGGACATGAGGCATGAAGGGTGATGGAGAGTGGGGCCTGGCAGTGAGGAGGCCATGAATGACTATTTGCAAATTTTCATGGCTAGGGAAGGTGTCAAAGTTGTCTGTACAAGGATGTTCTTTACTGCAGTGTTTCTAACAGTGAAGACTTGAAAATAAGTTCAAGGTTCAGCCACAGGAGAGAGATAACTAAATTATGATTCAGCCATGCACGGGTAAAATCTGATGGCGGTAGGACGGGTGGTGAGAGGGAAGGGAGGAGGGGAGGGATGTGTTGGCAGAATACATAGGATGTTTAGGGCAGTGAAACTATAGTAGTGGCTACATGTCAATACCATTTGTCAAAACCCATAGAATATATACCAAGACTGAACTCTGATGTAAACTATGAGCTTAGTGTGTTTATGATGTGTTCATAAACGTTCATCAATTATAACAAATGCACCCTTGTGGAGGGGGATGTTGACAAGGAGGAGGTTATGCATGTGGTGGGGCCAGGAGGCATCTGGGAAATCTCTTCAATTTCTTCTCAATTTTGCCGTGAACCTAAAACTGCTCTAAAATAATAAAGTCTTAAAAAAAAAAAAAACAAAACCCTGAAAGCTCACAGATTTTGTTTGGCTTTAAAGGAGAATGGGATTATTTGCCAACATTACAAAGACTGAGAGGGGGCGCCTGGGTGGCTCAGTCGTTAAGTGTCTGCCTTCGGCTCAGGTCGTGATCCCAGGGTCCTGGGATCGAGCCCCGCATCGGGCTCCCTGCTCCGCGGGAAGCCTGCTTCTCCCTCTCCCACTCCCCCTGCTTGTGTTCCCTCTCTCGCTGTCTCTGTCAAATAGATAAATAAAATCTTTAAAAAAAAAAAAAGATTGAGAGATTTTATGGAAAAAAATATCCAGATGTCCAGCTTCTCTTGACCCAGAAACTCCAGCAATTCTAGGCCCCCACATCCACTTGGTAAAACTCTGGCCAGAGTTAAGAAGGAGCTGCCTGCTCCCTTTAATGAAGAAGCCCTACAGGCGACTAAGGTTTCTACCTGGCCAAAGCCAACCGTGCAGTTTCGCACAGTGTCTCTCTGATTTGGGTGTAGATCTCTTGGTCACACTATTGTCTTACCTGAAATATTCTCCCCTTTACCCCCAACCCTCGGCCAGGCTAATTCATTTTTATCCTGTAGGAGTTATGTTAAATGTCACTTCTTCAGGGAAGACTTCCCTGTCTACTGCAGAGTAGGTTAGGGCACTCTGTTTTATGTTCTCATTGCATCCTTGTACAACTCTTCACTGCTGTCACGGAAATATTTGTGACAGCTCTCCCTTACCGAAGAATTCCCCTTCATAAATTTGGAAGAAATAAGGAAATACAAAATGACCATTAGAATACCAGATCTCTGCAGACAAGAGCCACCCATGGATATTAAACTTAGTGGACAGAATGGCTAAAATTAACAACTCAGGAAACAACAGATGTTGGCAAGGATGCGGAGAAAGGGGAACGCTCTTACATTGTTGGTGGGAATGCAAACTAGGTCAGCCACTCTGGAAAACAGTATGGAGGTTCCTCAAAAAGTTGAAAATAGAGCTACCCTACGACCCAGCAATTGCACTACTGGGCATTTACCCCAAAGATACAAATGTAGTGATTGGAAGGGGCACCTGCACCCCAATGTTTATAGCAGCAATGTCCACAATAGACAAACTACGGAAAGAGCCAAGATGTCCATCGACAGATGAATGGATAAAGAAGTCATGGTGTGTGTGTGTGTGCGTGTGTATATATATATATATATATATATATGTATATATATATATATATATATGCAATGGAATATTACTCAGCCTTCAAAAAGAATGAAATCTTGCCATTTGCAATGATGTGGATGGAACTAGGGGGGATTATGCTAAGCTAAATAAGTCAGCCAGAGAGAGACAAATACATTATGATTTCACTCCTATGTGGAATTTAAGAAACAAAACAGATGAACACAGGGGAAGGGAAGGAAAAATAAAATAAGAGAAAAACAGAGAGGGAGGCAAACCATAAGAGAACCTTTTTTTTTTTTTTAAGATTTTATTTATTTATTTGAGAGAGAGAGCACAAACGGGGTGAGGAGCAGAGGGAGAAGCAGACTCCCTGCTGAGCGGGGAGCCTGATGTGGGACTCGATCCTGGGACTCTAGGATCATGACCTGAGCCGAAGGCAGATGCTTGACCGACTGAGCCACCCAGGTGCCCACCATAAAAGACTCTTACCTATAGGAAGCAAACTGAGGGTTGCTGGAGGAGCGGTGAGTGGAGAGGTAATAACTGGGTGAAGGGCATTAAGGAGGGCACTTGATGAAATGAGCACTGGGTGTTATATGCAACTGAGGAATCACTAAATTCTACCCCTGAAACTAATAATACACTGTATGTTAATTAATTGATTTTAAATAAAAGAAAAGAAAAAGAAAAAAATAAAGTTGGCAAAATTTTAAGAGGGAACATGATATTTGCATAGTCTCAAAGTATTCTCCCCCAAACAAATTTTTTATTAATGACAAAAGGGAAAATAGTAACTTTAGAGTGGAGAAACCTGGCAGATTTCGTCTAAGGCTAAGTGACCAAGATAACATTTCCAGTAGTAAGACATATTGACATCATGTACCTCCTGATATCATGCACTAAGAAGGGCAGGCCACTTCTGGGGCATCCTTTCTAATAATGCATAACCTCAATCTAATCATCATCAAATTAGGGCATCTTCTACAAAGTAACTGACCAGTACTCTTAAAAAGTCTCAAGGTCATGAAAGACTGAAGAATCGTCACAAATTGGAGAACACTAGGGAAACATGACAACTAAATGTAAGATGAGACCCTGGATTAGATCCCAGAGCAGGGGAAAATATGCAAGTGGAAAAGGAAGTCCATACTGAGTAGTATTGCACCAATGTTAATTTCTTGGTTTTCAGAATTGGAATACAGTTGTGGAAGATGTTAATGTCTGGGGAAGCTGGGTGAAGGATATATGAGAACTCTGCATTATGTTTGCAGTTCCTCAGTAAGATGAAAATGGTCACAAAATAGAAAATCAAAAAAGTGTTTGTGTAATTATTTGCTCGATGCCTGTGTCCCCTGCTAGGCTCTAAACTTCACAAGGACAGAGACTGTGACTACACTGTCTTTTCATCATTGCATCCTGGGGTTCCTTAAAATGTCTGACACGTAGTGAATATTCAACAAATACGTGCTGAATAAATACACTCGTGGCTACTGACACAGAAAGAGTCCATGGCATAATTATTGAGTGGGAGTCACAGGGCACAAAACAGCACATATAGCATGTCAGTATTCATATAAATTAAGAGGCTGATGATTTACATGCCAATGTTGACTGTAGTTGTCTCTGGAAGATCAAGTTATGGGTAATTTTTCTTTCTTCTTTTTACTTTATTATATTTTCTAAGCATATTTGCAGGTTCACAAACTGCTTTTATGGGCAGGAAACAAAGTGTGTGCTCACATACATACAACCACATCTGCATTTCAAAGAAAGCCAGGAGCATCATGCCTGACAGCCGGGGAGCCAGACCTCCAGAGCTGGAGAGAAGATGCGCATATCTGAGCCCTGGGCAGTGGTGACAGCTGCAGGCGCTGGGAGACGTGCCAACAAGGTGGGCTACCTCCCCTGTGCTTCTCAGCTTCTCCATTCCTCCAGCCAGCATTCTCTGAGCAAAGCTTTTGAACTAATGTATTAATTTCCTAGGGCTGCTGTAACGAATTGCCACAAACCAGGTGGCCTGCAACTACAGAAATTTATTCTCACTCTTCTGGAGGCTAGAAGTCTGAAATCAAGGTATCAGCAGGGCCAAGCTGCCTCCAAAGGCAGTAGGCGACAATCCTTTTGCTTCTTCTTAGCTCCTTGTGGCTCCTGGCAATCCTTGCCATTCCTTGGTGTATAGCTGTAGCACTCCCCTCCCCCAGTCTCTGCCCCTGTGGTCACATGGCCTTCTTCCCTGTGTCCCCTCTGTGTCTCTGTATCCAGATCTCCCTCTTCCTTCTCTTATTAAGACATCAGCCACTGGATTTAGGACTCACTCTAACTCAATGACCTCATCTTAACTTGATTATATCAGCAAAGACCCTATTTCCAAATAAGGTCACATTCACGGGTGCTGGGTGCTAAGACTTGAACTGATCTTTTTGGGACACACAATTCAACCCACGGCAACTAGGAACTGCCCTGTACCCATTATCTGTTACTGTGCAACTCACCACCTCAAAATTCAGCTGCTTAAAACAGCAACCATTTTACCCACTCACGGTCCTGAGAGTCAGCCGTTTGGGCTGGGCTCAGCTGGGAGATTCTTCTGCTAGTCTCACCCGAGTCATTAATGTGGCTACAGTCTTCTAGTGGCTCTGCTGGAGCTGGGAGGTCCAAGAAGACCTTATTCATGGCTGGCTCTTGGTGCTGGCAGTAGTTAGGCTAGTGGACCCCAAGAGGGATGACACGTACCTCTTCATGTGATCTCTAGTGCTCCGGCGGGCTAGCCCAAGCATGTTCCCACGCAGCTTGGCAGATTCTGAGAGGACAAGAGCAAAGGCTGCAGGGCCTCTTGAGATCTAGGCTGCTGCATCCTAGCAGTCAAAGCAGGTCACAGGCAAGCCCAGATTCAGGGGTGGGGCAGTAGACTCCAGCCCTTCATGGAAGAAACAGCATAGTCACACTATAAGGGGTATACACATAGGGATGGGAGGAGTTACTGAACCTACTTTGCAAAGAGCCTACCGCAGGCCCCAAGTTCTGGGAGGAAAAGATGAATAGGTGCAGGCCTTGCCCTTAAGAAACAAGTGAAACTCTGCCGACAATGCACTGGAGAAAGTCCCTGTGTTAGAACAAAGGCAGTGCTTCCCCTGGTGCATGTGCTGGGAGGGAGTAGGAAGTGATAACTGAGCAGCCCCCTGGCCCACCAAATCCCAGGTCAAGGGCCCTCTCACCTTCATCTGCTTCTGAACAATGACCCCCATGCCCTGGGCCCTTGTGGCTCACCACAAGCTCAGATAACCATCACCAGGAATCATGGTCTAAACATACATCAAGGATGGCATGATCTCAAATCCCCAAAGAAGCAGCTATGTCCTCATGGGCAAAGCTGACAGAGGCAAGAGACGACTATCCAACAAGTTGGATACAGAAATGGGTTGGTACAGAAATGAGCTTGGAACTGAGCCTTGGCAGAGTCCCCTCTTCCCTCCCTCACAGGCCCACACTCGTCCTTTTCTCCAGACTGCCCACGAGAGGTCTAGCTGCCCATATCTAAGTGGGAGGAGAGCTTCCATGGACACACATATCATATGCCATAGGGAGGTGGAATTCTGGCTGCTTTTATTTACAGAGTGACTTTGAGCTGCTTTCCTCATCTGTGAAACGTAGGGCGATAAAGGTTTGGTAAGAGTTAATGGGAATGATTTGCAAACACCTCAGAAGCTGTACCATTGTCTACAAGGACATATGCTGCTCTTGGTCCATTCATTCAGTCAGTCAGTTAGTCATGCAATGTTTAACTTTGTTTTGTCTGCCCAGAGCGGCACCCTCCTCCTAGGATCTGCTCTTGACTTTTCTCCAACCATGTGCTCTGAGTGGGAACTGCCATCTTCCTAGATGCCCTCCTCCTAGTGCCTGGTTCAAGGATGGGTGACTGGCTCAAGCTGGGCCAATCGGCGTTCTTCCCTGGGGGCTTTTTAATGTGAGAATGTGGAGGTGGCCGAGTTCCCCCAAAAGTTTGGAGCCAGAAAGTTCTGGAGTCATTGGTGGACATGTCCTTCACCACAAGGAAGAAGTAAAAGAGGGACAGGAAATGCAAGTGAATCCTGGAGCCGTGTCCATTGTTGGTTCCAGCTCCCTCTGAGACCCACCTACACCCTCCTCTTCCTGCAGTTATAAGACTTCTCCCCAAAAGATTTCTTTTTGTCTAAATGTGTAACCAAAAGAATCTTGACTAAGTTGATTTGTTCAATGTTTATTGAGCAATTCCCTTTGTCAAACCCTGGAGATACAACAGAAAAGACCTGGATCCTCTCCTCTGGGAGATCATAGTCTGATGGAGGGGGCGGCATACAGGAGACAACAGGCAGTGTTGTGGGGGCTGCCACAGAGCAAGAATGCTCTACTTTGCTTGGGGGAGATGCCTACCCTGGGCCTTAGGCCTGTCGGTGAGTCTCCCTGACGATGGAGGAGGGTGAGGAGAAGATGGGGGACATTTTAGATAAAGCCTTAATAGAGTGTATAAAGACACAGGATGTGGATCAACACAGCCCCTCGGGGAAATAGAGGTTGTTCCCTGGGGCTGGAGCTCAGGTGGAGAAAAAGGCAGGGTCAGGTTAGAAGGGCCTGGTGGACCAGGCTGTAGAGCATGATTGGAGGGGGTAGTTGCTAAGGAGCGGGGTGCCTCCAGGGTCATCCTTAGCTGGTGCGAGATGTACCAGGTGAAGCCAAGGGCTGGCAGGACCACTCACAAGGTGTTAGGGTGGTTATTCAGTTTCCACTTAGAGCCTCCACCCTGCAGCTTGGCACATACATCTGGAGGTGGCCAGAAAGTGGCAATGGAGTTCAGCCATAGAGACAAGCTCAGCCTCCTCCAGCACCCTCATGCCTGGGCCCTGTTATCAGGACAATGGGGGCCAGTCCTTCTGTACATTCTGACCCCACAGAGCAGCAGGCACTGGCCAGCAGTCACATCAAGGTGGGCTGGATATGCTGTAGGTACCGTGTCCTCTGCTTCCACGAAAGCCTAGAGCAGACTGCCCTGGCAACAAACACATCTGCTCACAACTTCAACAATGATAAGCGAGCCCTTTGCTTCACATGGAAAGGAGGCAGAGAACGCAGAGGGGAGGACCTCTCTGGAGGACCCTCAGCTGCATAGGACCAGAAGAGTGGTTTTCTTCTGGGGACCAGAGCCTTTCCTTGCAACTCAGCACACCAAGCAAAAAGGCCTTTACTCTGGGGGCAACCAAGAGGTCAGCCCAAGGGGACCCCATGATGGGGTCACAAGAACAGGTGGTCAGCTCAAGGCAATGGGACCGTCTGGACACATAGACCCAAAGTTATGATCAGGGATCAGTGAACATCACTGGGAGGAGACAGTATGAGTAGGTGGAGGGCATAGGTCAAATGACCAGAGTCTGTGAGGGCTCAAATACGTCCTCTGGACCCTCTGCCCCACAGAACCCTGTTTGCCCACCTAGCTCCCACAGCACCCCAATCAAGCTCCTGTGGTAACAGGTATGTCTGATGCTGTATGTTGTTTGTCCACCAGGCTGTGAGAGCCCCGAAGACAGGGCCTGCTGTTCACATTGCAGCCCTGGCTCTAGCCTAGCCTTGGCATGGAGCAGAGGCTGGGAGTGGGAGTTCTCAGTGAATAATGGACACTTCAGAAGCTCTCACAAGAGACTTAGGAGAACTAGCAGCAGGTGCTGGGCCAGCACAGCCCCAGAGACTGGAGGGCAGAGTCTCAGACAGGAGAGACAGGACATGCAGTGGATTCAGACCCAGAGAGGTTAATGGAGACTAGCTCTGGGAGGAGAGGGACGAGCAAGGCCAGGCTGCCCCCCAGCAGTGTCCCATCAGAAGACACCCAGAGCAGGGAGGACAGAGATTCAGGGAGATGATCCTGCAGGAGGGAGCCCTGCAGGGGCAGAGGGGATCCACAGGTGAGGGGGCTCAGGGCAGAAAATAGGGACCCAGGGGCCTGGGCCCCCATAGAAGAGCCCTAATGGGACCACATGACAGATGTCGGTCCTGGCCAGGACATCTCCCTAACACCCATGATGATCAAGGCCCCACATCCAGGCTCAGTGAACCCCAGGAGCAGGGGTGGCTGGAACCCATACTTAGGGAAGCTGGGGAAGCTGGCTCCTGGTAGAGCCAGGTGGCCTTTGTGTTCAGACAGGTGAGCACACTGCGGGAGCCTACAGGCTGAGGAGGGAGTTACTTGGGAGGGGTGCTGGCCTGTTACCATGGGATCCTCAGTGGCCCGGTTAAGTGTGACATCTGAGCCCATTCAGCAGTGCACTGAGCTGGTGGGGGGCAGGGAGGAGGGAGCTGCGGGACTGCAGGAAGGAACTGAATGGGATCACAAGCCCCTCTGCTCCCAAAGCAGCAAGTGAAGGATGAGCAGGACTTACTGGGTGCTGGGTGGCCTCTGAGTCCCAAGCACTGGAGCAGAGAGAAACAGAAAGTGATTTGCCAGAGGGGAAGAGTAAGAGGGAGGCCGGAGAAGGGGGATTGGGACCACATCCCACAGAGCCTCCCCAGGCTGAGGCCAGAGACCAATGCTGTCCTGCTTGTCCAGAGGGCACCAGGGAAGGACTGGAAGCAGGCAGTGGCGAGGGCAGTTTTGCATTTTAGGAGGAGCTGGAGACTCACTCTATCAGCCCCCACCATCCCCACCCCCAGGCCAACAGCACTAGGCACCACGGTATTTCTTAGGCACTCTGGCCTCAAGTTCCCAATAGTGACCTAGGGGAGGGCTAGGGGAGGTAGCCACAGCCCGGGCAGGCAAGTTGCCCATGGACAGCTCCACCCCTGGGGGCACCCACCCCAGCAGAGTCCCTGCTGGGCAGTGACCATGGGAGGGATCAGACCCAGGCTCACCCAGACCCTGGGCATGGGATGAAGCATGACTATCAGGCCTCAGGCCTCACCCAGTATGGAGTCCCCTTTAACAGCTCATTGGCTTCTGGAGGCACTGGGACTGGCCTGCAGGCCTACCCCATGCTGCCTGGCCCTCCCACCCTGGCTTCCCGTTGGGCTGGTCTGGCTGAGCTAGAAGGTCCTGGGGCCCCATTTCGGGC